GGGTTTCACCATGTTGACCAGGATGGTCTCGATCTCTTGACCTCGTGATCCACCCGCCTCGGCCTCCCACAGTGCTGGGATTACAGGCTTGAGCCACCGCGCCCGGCCAATGTACTTCATTTCAAGGAGAATCACTCGAAACCTGGAGGTGGAGGTTGCAGCGAACGGAGATTGCACCAATGCACTCTAGCCTAGGCAACCGAGAGAGACTGAAAAAAATTAGGCCAGGTGTGGTGGCTCACGCCTGTCATCCCAGCGCCTTGGGAGGCCAAGGTCGGTGGATCACTTGAGGTGAGGAGTTCGAGACCAGCGTGGCCAACATGGTGAAGCTCCGTCTCTACTAAAAGTTTAAAAATTAGCCGGGTGTGGTGGCACACACCTGTAGTCCCGTGCAAGTGATCCACCCGCCTTGGCCTCCCAAAGTGCTGGGATTGCAGGCATGAGCCACCGTGCCCAGCCAAATGTTTGAATGTTACTCTGCAGTCAGTGGGGCTCTTGGAAGGGTTACAGGCAGGAGCGGGACCTGGTCAGATGTGTGTTCTGAAAAGACCCCTCGCTGTGTGTAGAGAATGAACTGGCTGCACATGTGTGTGGGCTGGAGGGGGAGACAGGAGATGAGGGCGTGCGGGGAGGCAGAGGGCTGGAGCACAGAGGATGGATTTGAGCATGGTGACTTGCCTTGGGGACCATGGGGACTGGACGAGGAGGGGGAATCCTGGGCATGTAGGGGAACCATCACATTCGTGGGCACATGGGGGAGGAAGCTGGGGGCTGGGCAGAATGTTCACTTTGAAATGATTAATTTGGGGTGATTGGGAGACACCCACAGTAGAATATCCTCCTTCACTGAGGCCCCCAAAAGGCAGTATCTGTGTGTCTTTTCCTTTCTGAAAGCCCTTCCATTCCCAGGGGGCAACTCTAAATGTACCAGAAAACCTCCCACAATTAGACCTCACCCAGACATTGAACCTCCCTCTGCTCAGCTCATTCATAAAGTGCCTCTGGCATTTAGGTGTCTTCTAATCTCATTTTCTCTGCTTGTTAATGGACCCACTGAGGCAGTCCTCCTGGGAGAGAGAGAAAGATTTCATTTGTCTGGGGTGAGGAGGGAGACAGGGGTTGCCAAAGCTAATGAGGAATCAATGCCTTGTAATTGCTAATTAAATGAGCCTGGCTCTCTCCTGGGGCTATGAGTTGGCTGGCCGACCCTTAAGTGTCCACAAATTCAATTATGCTTCCCCAATAAACACCTGCAGTAACCGTTGCCCTTCGGTATCTCTCTGGGGGAGACCTAGAAGAAGGATCTTCCTGTGTGTGCCGAGGCCATACAGTCATTTATTGATTGATGTATTGGTTTATTCTTTGGTGGCTTTATTGATTCAACACATGCTTATGGTATGCCCGCGGTGTGCTGGGCACTGGACCAGGCACTGGGGATGTAGCCGTGAAAATACAAACATTGTTTCTGCTCTCATGGAGCTCACAGGGTAACAGGGAGACAAATAGACATGTCACTAGATAACTTGAAAATAATTGGACTATGTGCTGGAGACACAATATCCCAGGTCTCTGAGAATGTCAGTACAGACTTCACATGGGAAATGGTGAGGCAATCAGGATCGTTTCCCTTGATGAAATGGAGCTTGCAGAAGAAGGCAGGCTCAGTTGCAGGGGTCTCTGGGTGGAGGTGGGGGAAGTGCATTCCAAGCTGCAGGAACAACAAAGCCAAAAACCGTGAGGCTGGAGAACAGGTACCATGTGGAGTTTGTGACTTGATTATGGCGTTGCAGAAAATTGGAAGTGAGTCTTTTTTAAATGTATTTATTTTTTATTGACATGAGATCTCTCTGTGTTGCCCAGGCTGGTCTCGAACTCCTGAGTTCAAGCCACCCTCCAACCTTGACCTCCCAAAGTGCTGGGATTACAAGTGTGAGCCATCACAGCTGGCCAACAGGATGAGCCTTCATGATGCGGTAAGTCACAAATTCACACTTGTCCTATCATTGGCCCGTGGCACTGATGGGTGGCAGACAGGAAAAGAATCTTTTCTGAAACTTTTTTTTTTTTTTCTTAAGACAGGGTCTTGTTCTGTTGCCCAATCTGGAGTGCGGCAGTGCAGTCACGGCTCACTGCAGCCTTGAACTCCCAGACTCAAGTGTTCCTCCCACCTCCCACATTAGTTGGGACGACAGGCATGTGTCACCTCACGCAGCTAATTTTAAAAAGCTTTTTTTTTTTTTTTCTTGTAGAGATGAGGGTTCACTATATTGCCGCCCAGGCTGGTCTCGAACTCCTGTGCTCAAGCAATCCTCCCATCTCATCCTCCCAAAATGTTAGGATTACAGGTATGAGCACCTAGCTCACTTCTGGAACGTTTACTGAAAAGTACCCTTAGGCTGGGTGTGGTGGCTCACACCTGTAATCCTGGGACTTTCAGAGGCTGAGGCAGGAGACCATGTCTCTAAAAAATAAATAAATAATTTTTTTGAGACAGAATCTCCCTTTGCCACCCTGGCTGGAGTGCAGTGGTGCAATCCTGGCTCCATGCAGCCTCTGCCTCCTGGGTCCAAGGGATTCTTATGCCTCAGCCTCCTGAGTAGCTGGGACTACGGGCGTGCGCCACAACGCCCAGCTAATTTTCATATTTTTAGGAGAAATGGAGTTTCACCACATTGTCCAGGCTGGTTTGGAACCCCTGACCTCAGGTGATCCACCTGCCTCTGCCTCCCAAAGTGCTGGATTACAGACATGAGCCATCGCACTCGGCCAAAAAAAAATGTTTTTTAATAGAGAAGTACCCTGAGAACCTTGGTCTAGGAAGGGTTTTAATGCCATTCCCTCACTAATTCCCCCAGGAAAGCGCTGTGAGGTGGTTCGAGGTCTTGGGTTTAGAGTCAGATGTTTTCTATCTCCAGGCTTGTGGGGGCGTACAAGTGATGTATGATCAACAACATACATGGTACATGGCTGTATGAGCACAGGATGTACGTCCTTGTTTGCTTCCCTCCCCTGCCCATGTCTGTATCCCCTAAAGTGAGCCAGCCCACCCTCCGAGTGGAAGCAATCCCTGCCCCAACCTCCCCAGTTCTCCCCCATTGGCCAGCTCATTTTAGGTGAAGGTCGATGGGAGTCTGCGCTGTGAGGCCGGCTGTGACTTGTTGTCATAGTACATCAGAACAACAAAATCACTAGTCTTCCACACAGCACTAGACCATAGCCACTCTAATCTTCTTCGCCATCCTCTGCCCCATATCTGAGACCCCTGTCCAGCTCCTCTTCCTCACCTGAGCCAATCTGTGACATGTGGGCTTCCTGCCTCTGTGCTGCCTCCCTGTTTTCCATTCCCGGTTCTCCTGGAGAGAGGCAGGGTCTGATCTCCAAGGGCCCACCTCCCACCCAGGCACAACAGAAACATGGGGCTTGGAGTTGGACTGATGGGACTGACTTACAGCTTCACTTTGGGCTGAGAGCCCCTGGGTTGGTTATTTTTCCACCTCTCTCCGGGCCTTGGCTTCCCCAAATGTCATGTGGGCATAGTAACACCCATATCCTACGGTTGAACATGGCGTGATATGATGTATGTAAAATGCTTGGCACAAGGTTTCTCACAGAAGTCTGGAAGGGATACCACAATATCATCTTGGCAGGCACCTGTTCCCCCAGCAGGGAGTTTTACCTGTTGAAAATTGCAGACTTGGGCCAGGCGGGGTGGTTCTCGTCTGTAATCCCAGCACTTTGGGAGGCTGAGGAGAGCGAATCACGAGGTCAAGAGGTCGAGATCAGCCTGGCCAACATGGTGAAACCCGTCTCTACTACACATACAAAAATTAGCTGGTTGTGATGGTGCGTGCCTGTTATCCCAGCTACTCGAGAGGTTGAGGCAGGGGAATCGCTTGAATCCGGGAGGCGGAGGTTGCTGTGAGCCGAGATAGCGCCACTGCATTCCAGCCTGGCTGACAGATCAAGACTCTTGTCTCAAAAAAAAAAAAAAGATAAAATTACAGACTTCTATGTGGACTTATCTGGAAAATACTTTGTTTAAAAATCCATTACATGAGGGGCGAGTCTCCAGAAATGCCTGGCACCTCAGACCACCCTCTCTCGTCCTCCTCCCCCAAAATCAGGGTCCAAGGGCTCTCCGGTTACCTGGAGGAGCTGTCCAGGGTCCTGGCCCCGAAACGGAGCCCGCTGGGAGCTGTCCTGAGCCCCGGTGCTGAAACAGGTAGCTGTTCTCTTCTCAGACCCCCGAGTGGCACTGTCCCGAGGCTTGGTGCTGAAATAAATAGCATTCTCCTCCGTCGGTCGGTGGAGAGCTGTCCCTGGTGCTGAAGAAAACTTGATTTTCCTCTCTCTCTTTCCGGTTCCCCCACCCCTCTTCGTTCTCGGTTCCTTCGATTCTTGGGAAACCCCACCCCCGCTCAATTTATTTCCCCTCCTGGCTTCTTCCAGGGGAGCTTCAGAATGGCAATGGGGGAGACACGGAGGGGTCGCAATTAGCACTGATGCCTGCTCCTCACCCTGTAACACGTCCCCAGAGCTTACCTCCCAAGCAGTCAGCCCCGCTGGTCTCTGCTTTCCAGACCGTCCAACTTCGCCATCTCTGTCCCTTTCTGCGAAAATATCTATGCGCCGACCTGCAAACCAGCCTCCTTCCCGGGATCCCACATCCTTCAGACCACCCCTCTTCCCACGCAGCTGTGGGCCTCCCTCTCTGTGTGCCTCACCTGCTTCCAGTCTTCTTGGCAGAGGCAGGTGTCCGGTGGTTGCTGAGGCGGGGAACTGCTCTTTTATGGGCTTCGGGGAAGGCGGAGTGCCAGGAATCCTAGGAGGGGCTTCCCCAACTGGCCAATGGGATTCCACCTCAGAACGAAGCTCCAAAGATTACCTCATAGGTTGTGGCCCACGCTTCAGAATAAAAGTCTGGCATCTGCCCAAAAACTGGGCTAGGGGATATTTGTGGATGGGGACGGAGCACTCATTGTGGACCACGGAGTCTCCCCACTAGCCCTGATCCCCTCCTGGGTTCCTGAGCTCCAAGTTGGAACAGGTGTCCTGACTGGTACCTGTTTCTTCTCATTCCCAGTTTTTGCTATTGCTGCTGGTTCAGGAAAGAAAAAGCTGGTTGGGCCGGGCGCAGTGGCTCACGCCTGTAATCCTAGCACTTTGGGAGGCCGAGGCGGGTGGATCACCTGAGGTCAGGAGTTCGAGACCAGTCTGACCAATGTGGTGAAACCCCGTCTCCTTAAAAAAATAAAAATAAAGTAAGAAAAGAAAAAGCTGGTAAACTGTTCTGGGGCAAAATAAGGGATGTAGAGAATATTAAAGTCCAGTTTCACCTAGGGCAACTGACGTCGGTGAAAATGGAGGGCTCACAAGACTCTGGAGCAGAAGTGGGACTTAAGCCTGAAGATTTTGATTCCTTAACTCAAAACCCAAATTATAAAATTCTGCTGTTTGTAGTGCTATACTGGGCAGGCTCTGAACCAAAAAACAAAGAAACTGGGGTTCAAATTCAGATTTTTCTTCTCCTTCCTTTGGGGCATTGGGCACAGTTGTGCCTCAGTTTCCTCAACTGTGAAGTGGTGATGACAGTAGAGGATTTGATGAGGAATTAATGACATGGTATAGATTGCATATTGGAAATAATCAGAGCAGGAGCTAGTTTTGCACTTGCCTCAGGTGCAAAATTTAAAGGGACACCAAAAAAACTCAAGAATCAAGATAAATAATATCTCAGGCCAGGTGCAATGGCTCATGCCTGTAATCCCAGCACTTTGGGAGGCCAAGGTGGAAGGATCACTTGAGGCCAGGAGTTCAACACCAGCCTGGGCAACATAGTGAGACCCCGTTTTTGAGGGGGGGGTGCCACCACCTGTGGTCCCAGCTACTTGGGAGGCTGAGGTGAGAGGATCACTTGAGCCCAGGAAGTCAAGGCTGCAGTGAGCTGTGACTGCACCACTGCACTCCAGCCAGAGTGACAGAGCAAGACACTGTCTCAAAAAAAAAATAATAATCCATGCAATGTTTTAAGAAATCTAAATGTATGCCCAAATCCACAATGAACAAAATATCAAAAATTTAAACAAAGACAGAACGAGCCTTTCTGACTTCCTTTTACCTGAAATCCCAATATGGCTGAGCATGGCACTAGCAATCATGTCTGCATATGGTAGGTTTTCTAATAATGCAGCTGTTATTCTTTCCTGAGCTATTCCACCCATTTATTTGCTCAACAAACTTTTGTTATGCTAGGCACTGGAGATAGATGAATTCAGCAACCAACCTTGCCTTTAGGGAGGGTATAGACATGAAAACTCTACTCACATGTGGGTATGGGCATTAGGCAGAAGGAACAGGTAGTATAAGGGCCCTGGCAGGGGTGGGGGAAAGAACAGGCCCTGGTGGGTGAGCAAGGGTAGAGGGGACAGGTGGGATATAAATCAGGGACATCTGGACAGGACCTGCTCATTCAGGCCAGGACCAAAGTGAAGTTCCTCAGATTGCACAGGAAAACCTGTCACCCTTTCTCTCTGCCCCTCCCTAAGCTTTTACTCTGTGCCAGGCTCAGCGTCAAACATTCTACCTGCTGAGTGTTCTGAAGGCCTCAGAGCAGTCCCATAAGATAGATTCCGGCCAGGCACAGTGGCTCACTGAGGCTGGAGTACAGTGGTGTGATCTCAACTCACTGCAACCTCCACCTCCTGGGTTCAAGAGATTCTTCTGCCTCAGCCTCCGAGTAGCTGAGACTACAGGCACCCACTACCATGCCTGCCTAATTTTTGTATTTTTAGTAGAGATGGAATTTCACTATGTTGGCCAGGCTGGTCTCGAACTCCTGACCTCAAGCAATCTGCCCACCTCGGCCTCCCAAAGTGCTGGGATTATAGGTGTGAGCCACCATGCCCAGCCTGGCTTCCTTCCCTCAGCAGAATATGCTAGAGAGCGATTCATGCTATTGCGTGAACACGGAGTTAGTTCCTTTATTTATTTATTTACTTTTGAGATGGAGTCTCACTCTGTCACCCAGGCTGGAGTGCAGTGGCATGATCTCGGCTCACTGCAACCTCCGCCTCCTGGGTTCAAGTGATTCTCCTGCCTCAGACTCCCGAGTAGCTGGGACTACAGGTGCGCGCCACCACACCCAGCTACTTTTTGCATTTTTAGCACAGACAGGGTTTCTCCATGTTGGCCAGGCTGGTCTCCAGCTCCTGACCTCTTGATCTGCCTGCCTCGGCCTCCCAAAGTGCTTGGATTACAGGCGTGAGCCACCGTGCCCGGCCCTCCTTTTCATTATCAAGTAGTATTCCATCATGTGGATGAGCTATGGCCTGTTTACCCCTTCATCAGTCCAAGGACATTAGGTTCTGGAACATCATCTGTGTTTGGAGATTATTAGGAAAAAAGCTGCTATAGATATTTACATGGGCTGGGGGCGGTGGCTCACGCCTGTAATCCCAGCACTTTGGGAGGTTGAGGTGGGCGGATCATGAGGTTAGGAGTTCAAGACCAGCCTGGCCAATATAGTGAAACCCTGTCTCAACTAAAAATACAAAAATTAGCTGGGTGTGGTGGCAGGTACCTGCAGTCCCAGTTACTCCAGAGGCTGAAGCAGAAGAATTGCTTGAACCAAGGAAAAGGAGTTTGCAGTGAGCAGAGAAGGTGCCACTGTACTCCAGCCTGGGCAACAAGCGATACTCTGTCTCAATAAATAAATAAATAAATAAATAAAATATTTACATGCAGGCTTTCATATGGCCAATAAATTTTCACATCCCTATGGTAAATACCTAGGAGTGTGATGACTGGGTCATATGCGAAGTGTATATTTAACTTTATAAGAAACTGTCAAACTTTTCCCAGAGCAATTGTATCATTTTGCATTCCCACAAGCAGTGGATAAGGGTTCTAGTTGCTTCATGCCCTTATCAGCTAGCTGTTGGTATTGTTTGGTTTTGTTTTTAACTACCCAATAAGTGTGTAGCATCTTTTACCCCACTCTCTCTCTCAAGATATAGATATAGATAATTTTATTTATTTTGAGATGGAGTCTCACTCTCTCTCCAGGCTGGAGCGTAGTGGCACAACCTTGGCTTACTGCTACCTACGCCTCCTGGGCTCCAGCGATTCTCCTGCCTCAGCCTCCTGTGTAGCTGGAATTACAGACGTGCACCACCATGTCCAGCTAATTTTTGTATTTTTGGTAGAGACTCAGTTTCACCATCTTGGCCAAGATGGTCTGGACCTGTTGACCTCGTGATCTGCCTGTCTCAGCCTCCCAAAGTTCAGGGATTACAGACATGAGCCATTGAGCCCAGCCTACCTCTTTTTTTGTTTTTGAGGCAGGGTCCCACTGCCACATAGGCTGGAATACAGTGGAATGATCATGGTTTGCTGTAGCCTCTACCTCCTGGGTTCAAGTGATCGTCCCACCGCAGCCTCCGAAGTGCTGGGATTACAGGTGTGAGTCACCATACCCAGCCATCTTTTACTTCTTTTTATTTATTTATTTTAAAATTAATTTTATTTATTTATTTATTTATTTATTTATTTATTTATTTATTTTTTGAGACGGAGTTTCGCTCTTGTTACCCAGGCTAGAGTGCAATGGCGCGATCTCGGCTCACCGCAACTTCCGCCTCCTGGGTTCAGGCAATTCTCCTGCCTCAGCCTCCTGAGTAGCTGGGATTACAGGCACGTGCCACCATGCCCAGCTAATTTTTTTGTATTTTTAGTAGAGACAG